GCTTTGTCATCTCGCCGTTGCGAGCGAGTCTGGCGAAACGTATAAATTAATAATAATGTTCCCACGAAACGCTTCACTGAATCATGAGGGCGTTATTTAATTTTTCGACTGCAAATCTTTGTTGCATTTCTCTTCAGTTTTCTTGAAAACCAAATTGAAAGTTAACGCTAAACCTACCACCGCCGGTCTAATGACCGGTTTCACGCTTTTTATTTCGTCATTATTGGTGTCGAAAAACCTTTTTCTTAATTTCATTGCAACTTTAAAAAAGGACAGTTTTCAATTTTTATTTAATATCCACATTTATATACAGTCGAGCCTCTCTCATTTTAACGTTTATGTTTGTAATATACCGATACCATAATTCAATTGTCTGAAAATTTTTTTTATTTTATAATTCTAAAATTTTATATTTTAAATTCGTTAAAATTCGTTGTATAAATTATCGTATTTTATCCGAGCTTAATTTATTGCATTTTAGTCTATCCTACTTTATTTTATTCTATTTCTTTTTATTTTTTGTTTCTCGTTTCATTTTATCTACTTTATTTTATCGTATGGACCACTTGTAATCCATAAGGAAACCATTAAAGTTCGTTATATAAAATATCCAATGTAAAAATATACAAATGATACAATATTTAGATAACAGAACGTTTGTCTACCAAAATATTGCAAAAGTAGTGTCCGGATAAGGGTGACTCTACTGTAAAATATATCAAATAAAAAAGCAGAAATAGTTTAATTTGATATCGTTGCTCTAAATTAATAATTGTGTAATCGTCGTCGCTGATAGCGTGCGCACCGTATTTCTAATTTTTGCGCGCGTCTGTTTCGACGATGCGGTTAATTGCGAGGGTATCCGCGAGCGTGCTAAAAATAACATTTTTTTCGGGGAAACCGGGCGTTGCAAAACACGTTCGCGGTGCTTGATAATCAATTATCATTAGCAGCCTCCGTTAATAATCGAAAACGAAGGAAAGTCGGACAGGTGACACCGTCGCCTGCCGGACGTAGCGGTATGCGGAAAGTTATGGTTGGCGAATACTTCTGACAGCCGACGCAACGTGTCCACGACAGCTCCGACCCCACGAACGGTCGTTCTGTTGTCGGGAACTTTAGCTCCTTGAACGACGTTAATGTGTTCCGCGCGCTTTTAATGAGAAAACGACGGAAACCCGAACTTAATGTTTCCTTTCCATGCCTCGGATTGTTCTCTTTAACTTTAATGACTTTCTTTTGTTTCGCTTCGCAGCGAAAAACACACTTTCGTGGTCACGACACTGTCGCTTAACCTTGCGAGAATTACTTAACTCGTCTCTGGCCGTTCAACAATATTTTGCTTGCTTAAAAACTTCAACTGGATCGTAACGAATATTATTCCGCACATTTTATTCTACTTTTACAAGAATTATTCCGCGAGCTGTTTATATAATCCTCCGCAGTCACGATGTGTTAAGATGACCAATTTTTTTCAAAAAAAAATGAAATTAACAATTACACTTGGGAATGAGATATCGAGTTCTAATAAAAGAAACGATATTCTAGAATGTTCAAATTATGTTCTCAAATGTTTTCGTCTCAATGGCATTGTTAGTTTTTGGAATGACAATTCTTTGATAATTGTATGACGTACGTGTTTCGCATAGGAAGTGTGACAACGGAGAGAGAGTTCCGTATAAGATAACAAACTTATTTCTAACTTGAATTTACACAAATAATATTCTAATTTTAAACAATTTAACTGCAACGAAACTTTACCCACTCGTAAGAAATAATCTTCTTCGCGTTTTCAGCAGTAGGAAATATATTTGACTGACGTATGACGAACAAATTACGACAGCGAAGCTCTATTTTCCGGCTGTACGGGAGAAGAATTTAACGATGTGCTACTTTTAAATACATCATTCGTTGAACAGGTTAATTAAGACACTGAATCTTTATTTCTCTGTCGCGCGAGACAAAAATTCAACGCTGGAGTTCAACGATATTTTACTTACTTAAAACCTTCGCTATATCGTAGTACATAAATATTCCTCCTGACTTTTTCCAGTAAATGTGAAAATGCGTTTGACAGACGTACGACGATCGGCACAAATTGAGACAACGACGCTCTATTTATCGAGGAAAAAATCCGCGGCATTCTATTTCCAAATTATTCGTTGAACAGGTTAATTGAGACACTAAAGCTCTATTTTCTGACTAGCGAGAGAAAAGTTCAACGATGGAGTTCAACGAGACTCGAGTTTTGCATTATGCACGACAAAAATTCAACGATATCCTGGAACACTGATTTACTGCCAGGACAGAGAAAAATTGAACAATGCAGGTGAGCGATATTTTGCTTATTCAAACGTCATCGGACCGTATCACGATGAATATTCGCCGTTATTTTACCAATGAACGTGACGATCCGAACAAACTGTAACAATGAAGCTCTATTTCTCGATTATACGAGAGAAACATTCGGCGATATTCTACTACGTTAACGTGTATCATTCGATTAGCGGGTTAATTTAAACATCTATTATTTATTCATTCAAACTCTAACTTCACGTTGCGCAAGAGAAAAGTCCCACAACGAAGTTCAACTATACCTGTACCGCAATCAAAATTCTTCCCCAATATCTCAACTGTCGACAAACCGTTCGACGAGCTGGTCAAATCCCATGAACTGAAACCAAATGTTTAACTACGTTTAAACCAAATATTTAACTACTAAATGCTTCGACTACGAAGGGTTGACATAGCGACATCATCAGGACTGAAATGTTTCGTTCGGTACGTTGCGAGCATATCATTTGATTATGTGCGTAACAATTGATCAATATGCACTGTTCGTTGTTCCTATTATTTAAACTTTCGTCATATAATATTAGGTCACTATGTACGAATTGTGTAGTTTACTCTATAATTTTACTATAAAATCTACGCATTTCATAATTAACCATGGACCGGGCGTGTCAGTTAAAGTTACATAAAGCGGCGCGTGGAGTGTTCAACGCCCCACTCAAACCGATTGGAATCTAAGCCATTGTCTTAGCCTTGTCGGTGAACAGCCTTAATTAAAAGCTGATGCAGTTATTGGCAGCTTGTTAACATTCCCCCAAAAAATAAAAAAACGTCAATTATAAAACAAATGGCTGGGGTGACAAACACCCGTTCCAAGGTTAATAACCAAATATGTAGTCCCTTCTGTCAATGACTACTCAACAAAACTGAAACATTTTGGCTCTGAAATCTCTTCCTTCAAGAACCGAGTCTACGATCTCTATGACTAAACTTTATTTATTATTATCAATTTTATCCTATACAATGCGTAATTTTGTAGTTTTATTATATTTACTTTATTATATTTACTGTAAACTTTGTCCCCTATTGCAACTAAACAAATGTCTCTCTACATCGTGTACTATCGGGCTTTTTATCCATAAAATGAATAAATAAATAAACAAATAAAGAATCTAGTTTTTTTTTAGGAAACTATTCTTAACCCTTTGTACTCGAAGCCATTTGAATTCTAAACCTAAAATAGTTTCTCTGACCTACACAATTTTATCTTATTTCATTTTATCTTATACAAAATTGGATCTTGCGACTCACACATCAGTTCTTTAAATGTAAATAAATTTGACGATGTAATAATTAGTTTAAAACGCGATATTACAATTTTTAGCGACGCCTCAGAGTCACTACTTTCGTGCGAAAGTTTAATACTCTGGGAAATTCAGTTTAAGATCAAAAATCGTAGTCCACGTGATCGATGCAAGAGCGAAAGTGTTTGAAAAAAAGTATCGGAAACTATATTCGAGAAACGGTTGGGTTTAATTCGGCGGGGTTGGGTAATTTGGCGGGGCGCGGAGGCTCGATATTTCATTAAATCCCGGCGCGGGTGTAGGAGGTACTAAATTTCCTTATTAAATGTAAATACCGATGCAAGATAAATTCTGTAACGTAATGGGGCGCCGCGATTTTCAGGAACGCCGAGCCGTCCGAATTTGATTTATCTGCCGGTGGGTCCAATAAATTCCGCGGAGGCAACGCGTCCGATCAACGGATAGGCCAAATAACTAATCAAGATGTCGGTTTCATTAACAAAGGCCTTCATCGCCGTATCGAGCCGAATTATCCCCGGCCTCTCTATCCCTCCCTCTCCCTCCGCATCGTTGAAATACAGCCGGGCCGATCGTAAAACAATTTACACGTTATAAAACGCGCGTCGAGTTTTATACTCGCCCGGGGAATAAATTAGCCGCGCGAGAGAATGTATCGATGCCCGACGCGTTTTTCGCCGAGAAATTCCTACATATTAAATTGTTAATGCCGCGGTATAAATCTCGCGCGGCTAATCCCTTCGTATATCGTCCCCGGGCCAAACAACACATCAGTTTCATGGCTCGACAGATTTTTGAATATTCAATTATTTATGCATTAGATTGTTGCGCGCGACTCGCCGAAATTTACGGCCGCCGCTTTATCATCGCGGATTAATAACAACGCTCGTTATCTTGCCGGTATCTTGCTTGGAAAAATTCCCCTCTCCTCGCATTCGAGAAAATGTTGTCTTTGGGATTCGTCGCTTCCTGAGGAACCATTTTTGCTTGTTTGTGCACGGTGAAAATTTTAATCAGGCTGCAAAACGAGCTTCGGTATTTTTCAACTGATTTCGAGGTGGATTATCTCGAGATTTCAGGCGTCATTTATTGTTAAGCGAATCTCATAAATTTCGTTCCACGGTTCTTCCGTTCGCATCATTAACGCGTACCAGTTACTGGTAACCAGGGAAGGCTCTGGGATAAGTTGATACATTTTTCGCTGCTCGATTTATACAATTTTGATTTCAGATAATTACTTAATAAGACACAAAAATGCTGAAGCTTAATTTGATCTTTCCTTTTTCGATATTGTAAAAGGACGATTTCAGAAAGTTTTAAAATGTTTTCTAGGTGAATGCAAAATATTGCCTCGGGACAGGTTGATGCTCACTTGAAACACCATCGTTAGATTTTTAATAACTGTTTTATTACTCAAAAGATGTTATGTAATAATGTTTAGTATAGCGTAATTGTGATTTAGTTGTAGGTGTGTGTAAATGAAACAATTTTTTCTTGAAATTCAATGAAACGGTGATCGCAACAAAAATATAACAGTGGTCGCGAAGTCTCTAAACAGAAATACGAGCACGAGAAAATTGATTAAATTCTACATCGAGATGACAGTAGCATTTTGTACATTTTTTTCAATTTAAGTGTAACGGGAGCATCGATCAATTGATGGGTCGAAAAGACAATGGGCTTATTGTTGGAAGAAAATAATTTAACGCGCGAACTCATTGCGTCGATTGCACATTCGCAATCCGTCGACCCTCCCTCCCCTCTTCTATCTGGGTTCCAGCGAGATAGGTCAGACGACCGTGCCACTCGAATCCGCAGGGTGCATTCATGGTCACGATTAATCATCGATATTTATAACGGATATAAATTTTACCGCGATTTCAGCCGGCGGCGTTCAACTATCGTTGAAGAAAGGGATGACAGTCCCGCGAGTGCAGGGGAACGTAGAATATAAAGCAAATGGAAAACGCGGATAGGAAACGGTGCTTTGCGAGATTCGATATCGTCTAAACTACACCCCTGACTTTCAAAAATCTGACCAGCAATTTTACTTTTTATCCTGTTGTTTTCTTCCATTTAATCGTTTTGTCGGAATAAAAGTGATGAAATGTTTTCCGTTATACCGCGGAGAACGATCGAACTGCTCTACATTTTACAATTTATTGTAATAATAGTGATCATACATATTTGTTAATATATCTGTGTAAAGCAAAGGGTATCTTATCCGTAAATAAATAAATGAATAAATAAACAAACGATGCACTGTAGTTTGTCGAATAATTTAACACGACTTTTTAACCCTGCTCGCTCGAATAACAACCCCGAGAGGCTACTAAAAATTACTGTACAATCATTTAAACTGAAGCAACACTTTTACATTACTTAATATAAACTTACTGCGGAGTTTATGCATTTATGGCAAAAATGAGTAAATGAAATATAAAAGTATGAAGACACATAAGAAGAGTTCAATGATATTCTTACACTATATTCAAATTAACAGAATTGTTTACAAGAGATAGTTCATTTTCATTTTATTTCTGTTTCTTACCGTCGTTGCACGAAATTTGTATTTTGCATAAAGATCCGCAGTCTACTAATCACAAAGAAACTTCCCGTTTGCTCCCCGTGCAAACGGGGATGAACGCGCTATCTCCCAGAAAAAGAACGGACCTCGCACAAAAGCGTTCCACGTTTCAGATTCGTCGAATCATCGCTGCTAAATCAGCCATGCTCTATCGCCGAACAAATTCCAGGTCCCCGGATTCCGCTCACCCGGTACATAACATCTGGACCGTTCCATAGAAACGGGTAGCTACATCACCGGGGCGATTATAAATCGACGCGGCGGCCACTAAAAGTTCAAGTGAAGCAATCTGAAACAAGTAACGTTTCCACGTTCGCAATAAGTACAAGTATAATACAGCCGTAGAGGATCGTATTTCAGAAAGCGGCCAGATCGCTGGGAGCGGGGTGGAAATAGGGGGAGTCCGGAGTGGCGATGAGGGCGAGGGAGGAAGAGCAGGAGGAGCGAAAAAGAGTGAAAAGGCGAGAGTCGGTTGGAACAAAACGGGGAAAAACGAGATTCACCGCAAGGAGAAGAGAAAACGAGAGAGAAAGAAAGAGAAAAAGAGAGGGAGGGAGAGAGACACGGCGGTAGACCGAGGCGCGAACCAGTGAGAGAGGGAGACATCGAAGGGGATAGGGGGTGAAAAAGAACCATGAAAAAGGGGTGTAGGTGAAAAACAGAGAAACTACACACACACACACACACACACACACACACACACATATATCCACATGGTACGTATAACCTCGGGAACTCGAGTCGAGTCGAGTCGAGTCGACTCGACTCGATGCCGATAAGCGTGTACTCTCTCGCGCGCACCCCGCCGCGGCACTCGGCCGTGTTCCGCGACGTACGAGAGAGCATTAATTTCGTTTCAACTCGTTGAACGCTCAGAATCCCTAACGAACGACGCGCTTTTTTCGACGACCGCGGACGCGTGGTCTTTCACATACCACTTGCCGCGAAAAGCCTCCGTGCCGTGCTCGTGCTTCGTACTCGTGCTCGTTCTCCTAATGCCGTGTCCGTGTCTTCACCGCGAGCGCAACAAAAACCAACGCTCAGCCGTAGAGCGAGAGAGAGAGAGAGAGAGAGAGAGAGAGGGGGGGGGGGAAGAGGGAAGTGAGAGAGAGGAGCGGGGAAAGAGGAGAGACGAGATGAAAGACCAGAGAAAAGAGAGAAGAGACTCACTCTCTCTCTCTCTCTCTCTCTCTCTCTCTCTCGCGCGCGCGCGCGCGCAAGTGGGTTTGGTTTGTCGTTACCACGACTGCTACTCTATGTGTGGCCGTATCTACTATGTACAGTAGCGGACAAAAGATTAAGACGACAAGAAAGAAGCAAAGAAATCAGTAAAATGCACGGTCGTCACAAATTTTCTCCGATATTGCTAACCCTCGGATGACGGACTGTTTTCACAACTGTACTATCGGCGATGTTTATAACAATTCTGAGCTTTATTCAGCAATTTTTCAGAACATATTTAAGAAGATATTTCTTGCAGACCCGTCGGCCTTTCTGTTGTTCCTAACGAAGCAGCAATTTATTTCATTTAATTGCCGAAAATTGAATAATTAAGTGAACGATTCAAGTAGTTTGGGTCAAAATCGTCCTAGCCACTGCCTTGCGAGGGTTAATGCACGGAACTGCACGCGTTCTGGTAGGTAATACTAAATAAAAAATATAAAGTCTTTAACCTTTTAGGCCCGACGCGCCACTATAGTGGCTTCCGCGGATATCACCTTTTAGAACGACATGCCACTATAGTGGCTTTCGCGGATGTCATCTTTCAGAACGACACGCCACTATAGTGGCTTGCTCTAGTAGCTCACTCGCTCATCGTTTGAACCAAATAATCGTCTTCATATTCATTGTTTCACACTTCTTTTGTCTTCACATCGATTTACAACAGTCTACAGGGTGTCCCAAAAATGTCTCGCAATCCGGAAATGGCGGGTTCTTCGGATCATTTGAAGCAACTTCTTCCTTTACAAAAATTTTCTCCGAGGCACCGTTAACGAGTTATTAACGAAAAACAGTGATCAATAAGAATCGAGTACGGCTGACGCGAGGCGGCCCAGCCAACCAGCTGGGAAGCCCAGTTCCGCTCAATGGCTCGGTCGCTTCGCGCCAGCTGAGCTGGGATTCGACCGCCTCGACCGCTGGCGCCGCTGGCTCGGCCGCCTCGCGCCAGCTGAGCTGGGATTCGACCGCTCGACCACTGGCGCCGTTGGCTCGGCCACCTCGCGGCAGCTGATCTCGCCTCTCATTGGTCACTGTTTTTCGTTAATAACTCGTTAACGGTGCCTCGAAGAAAATTTTTGTACAGGAAAAAGTTGCTTCAAATGGCCTGAGGAACCCGCCACTTTCGGATTGCAAGACATTTTTGGGACAGCCTGTATATACAGACAGAATATACAGTATCAGACTCTGTACAGTACGTGTCAAACTCTGCCGTCCAGAGAAATAGCCTCGCGCAGAATTCAGCCGTACCTAAAAGGTTAATGTCGTTGGTTCACAGAAGAAAGGTAAACGTTAGTTGCAGAACAAAAATGATTCTTTGATCCCCAAACGATGGATGCGACGATTCATTTTTTCGGTTGTTTTCCGTAGCCTGCCACTTTTTAGCCGATCTTTATTTATTCCCTTTCGTTAAGTGTAATAGTAAGTTCCGTAATTTACCCATACTTTCATACTCGGTAAATGAACTTCGACTAACCACGCGGATTTCGATATCTATGTACTAAAATAACACACGAATTCGTAAAGCGTTGTATCAGTAGAAGCGCTGTTAGAAGACTGAAAACGTAAAAGCAACCGTGTCATTAAATTTCTATTAATTTTTCTTTTGTATTCTTTTTCTTTCATTTGTTTTCCCAACGGCTCTACTCGTATGTGTGTGTGACCAAATCTTTCACCTGTTATATTTTCCTGCACTATACACTTTACACTATATACTACTATACAGGATGTCCCATATATAATTATGTCAACACTCGATTAAGGGTGATTCCTGAGGCCATTTGAAGCAATTTTTTCCTCAACGAAAATGCAATCCGCGGCTTTGTTTACGAGTTATTAACGAAAAACACTGACCAATGAGAAGCGAGCACGGCCAGCGGTAAGTGGCCGAGCCAGTGAGCGGTCGAAGCTGAGTTCTGTCTAGCGGCAGCCGTGCTCGCTTCTCATTGGTCACTATTTTTCGTTCATAACTTGTAATCAAAGCCGCGGATTGCATTTTCATTAAGGAAAAAGTTATATTAACCTCAGGAATCACCCCTTTGCGGGTGTTAACATAATTATAGGACACCATGTATACTTATTCTGCACGCTACACTCTTCATACTTTGTTTTACATTTATATTCGATTTTTTATCGTACTCGTGCGGCGGCGGTGGCGGCTATATAAAATCCCTCTCTTTTTATTTCGTCTTCTGTAACAAACGAAGGGTTCTTCTTTACCCGTATACATGAATAAATCAATAAATAAATAAATAAAATTTCACAGACCTCTGTATCAGAGACGAAGGTGGCGAAACACGTGTCCGTAGATTTCGAAACGAAACAAGCCTAACCGAACAAGCAGCAATCACACAATACGCGCATCGCTGAAATAAAAATTCATCGCCTCGAATTTATGACCGTAACTGTACGCGCGACGAAGACGCGTCCCGGGACAAGTGGGAATAAAAAGATCGCAATTAACGAGCACGAGTCTGCGGCTTCGAGGCCCCGGCCCGACACCGTCGTCGGCGTCGCAGCCGTCCCAGCGAGCCTGGAATCTATAGCGCGTGCAGGTTCCATTGAATGCCAGACGGATAAAACGGTTCGCGGGGCTCGTTCGCGCGACGCGGAACCCGAGGAACAAGCAATACCTGTTATAACGTCGTTACTATGCCCGCGCCACCTAATGTGTTAGTCGAGGACCGACGCGTTTCGCAACCCCTCCGAGCGCAGGCCGCACACCGACGAACAGACGACCCACACAAACAGCTCCCGGCATCCCCCTGCGGGCGCAATTTATTATACGCGAGATGAAGCAGCTCGTTCCCGCTTCCCGCGATTGCTACATCCCCATCGGAGTACCGATCCCTCGCGATTTTCGGAGACGCGGTTACTGAAGAAGGTACTTGCTTGTTTTCAGGGGCGAGTGCTAATACGGGGTGTCGGGCTGGCAGGATGTGACGAGAGGGCAGATCCGAATGTTTTGGATTGCTAGCGATCCGATTCAAAAAGTTGATACATGCTTTGCGATCTAAATTAAACCTTCCGAAGATCATGTTCACCTCTTTGCGAATCAAATCGCCTATTTTGAAGGTTTTATCCATCATTTTGGAAATCAAGTTTATCTCGTTGCGAATCAAATCACCTATATTGAAGATTTTATCCATCATTTTGTAAATCAAATTTATCTCGTTGCGAATCAGATATAATTAGTCCTATTATTCAATTCTTCAATTTAATATGAATTTTATCATTGGATTGAAAGCTATTGCGATTTTTAACAATTACGTGTATACAAAGCAATTATTTTTACGTAAAGCAATGGTCTGTTCTATAAATTATTGTATTCTATTTGAGTTTCTCATTTATTGTCCTTTATACTATCCTATTTCATTTGATTATAAATCGATCAAAAATACTAGTTTTTATCTCCTCTTCGCAAATAGTCCATTTTGGTTTACAGGCCGAGGGACAATTTGTGAGAATTTACTATAACACGTACAGTAATGTCTCTCTAATTGACGCTCAGATTGTCCGCAGAAATGAACAATTTAGGAAGAGGTGATACGATTATTCGATCCTTGCGGTTCATTTTTATAGTTACGAATTGTCAACAATTATAAAAACGAGCCGCAAGGCACGAATAATCGTATCTCCACTTCCCAAATTGTCCATTTTTCTGCACAATCTGAGCGTCAGTTAGGGAGACATTACTGTACTTGTAATAGAATTAGAAAGGAAAGCTTGGATCCCGACTTTTTCCAATGGTATCTTTCAACCAACAAATTTTCCCTAAACGGAACTGCTCCGACATCAACAAACGCCTCCCCAGCATTCGCAAATCAACAACAATCGATGCGGCACAAGCCAGGCATCGGTTTCCATCAGCGAAGAAAATCGTCGTCGCTAAAATTCTACGGCCAGTAATATTATTCATTTCGCCGGTGTAACTTTTCGATTTTTAATGTCAATCTCGCGCGGCGCGGCTCCGCGTCCGTGCCGTGTTTCATTAGACCAGAAACGACGGGTGCGCGCGTTCCGTTATTTCCAGGGAAACGCGAGGTAATAGGGAACCGACAGGAGTCCTGG